GGACCTGAAGGAAAGATCAAGGGCCCCAAATTCAAGATGCCACATATTACAGGCCCCAACATCAAAATGCCTGATGTTGACTTCAACCTGAAAGGACCTAAAATTAAAGGTGATATATCTAGTCCAAAGATAGAGGGTGACATCAAAGCACCAAAGGTTGACATTAAAGGCCCAGATGTGAGCATTGAGGGTCCAGATGTTGATATTGAAGCACCTGAAGGAGGGTTTAAAATGCCAAAATTCAAAATGCCAAGGTTTGGACTCAAAGGACCTAAGGTTGAGGGTCCCGATCTAGATGTAAACCTACCTAAAGGAGAACTTGCCATTTCCAGTCCAAAGATAGAAGGTGACATTAAGGGTCCCAAAGTAGATATTGAAGGTCCTGATCTGGAAATTGAGGGCCCAGATGGCAGGCTGAAGAGTCCCAAATTCAAAATGCCAACAATGAAGTTGCCATCACCACACATCTCAATGCCCGATGTAGATTTTAGCCTCAAGGGGCCAAAAGTTAAAGGTGATGCTGAGCTTCCCAAGATAGAAGGAGACCTCAAAGTAACAAAACCTGACATTGAGGGCCCTGATTTGGAAGTGAAAAGCCAAGAAGGTGGATTCAAGATGCCAAAGTTCAAGATGCCCAAATTTGGCTTCAAGGGCCCAAAGGTTGAGGGTCCAGATGTTGATATCAACCTACCCAAAGCTGACATTGACATCAAGGGACCTAAGATAGAAGGAAACATCAAAGCACCAAAGATTGATGTAGAAGGTCCTGAGGTGGACATTGAAGGACCTGAAGGGAAGATCAAAGGCCCCAAGTTCAAGATGCCATCAGTCTCTGGGCCAAAGATCTCAATGCCAGATGTGGACTTCAACCTGAAAGGGCCTAAAGTCAAAGGTGAAGTGGATGTTCCAAAGATTAAGGGTGACATAAAAGCACCAAATGTTGACATTGAAGGACCTGACATAAAGTTAGAGGCACCAGATATTGACGTCAAAGGTCCAGAAGGTGGATTCAAAATGCCAAAATTCAAAATGCCCAAGTTTGGATTCAAAGGTCCTCATGTTGAAGGTCCAGATGTTGATATCAACCTACCCAAAGCTGACATTGACATCAAGGGACCTAAGATAGAAGGAGGCATCAAAGGACCAAAGATTGATGTAGAAGGTCCTGATGTGGACATTGAAGGACCTGAAGGAAAGATCAAAGGCCCCAAATTCAAGATGCCATCAATCACAGGGCCCAAGATATCAATGCCAGATGTGGACTTCAACCTGAAAGGCCCAAAGATAGAGGGAGACATCAAAGGACCAAAAGTCGATATTGATGCTCCTGACGTGAGCCTTGAAGGTCCAGATGTTGACATTGAGGGACCTGAAGGTGGATTCAAGATGCCCAAAATCAAGATGCCCAAATTTGGCTTCAAAGGTCCTAAAGTTGAGGGTCCTGACATTTCAGGTGACATCAAAGGACCAGAGGTCAACATTGAAGGTCCAGATGTTGACATTGAGGGTCCTGAAGGAAAGATCAAGGGCCCCAAATTCAAGATGCCACATATTTCAGGCCCCAACATCAAAATGCCCGACTTCAACCTCAAAGGGCCAAAGATCGAGGGAGA